AATAATAATAAATTCAAGTGGACAGCTTATACAGCATATGAATTGCAAGCTTTTAGTATTTATATTGTTATCATAGGAAATAAAGCGTTAAGTGTTTCAGTCTCATTTTTGGCTCAGATCCCAAGATGGTTGGTGAGAACTACATTACTAACAAAGTGGATGACAAAGTGATGAAAGCAGATTTTGGAAAGGAGTTGAATTAATACTGATTTCGTTACTCTTAGATAACTGTCCACTTCCAGCCTAAACAAAGACATTTTAGAGGCCAAGAGGATTTTTGGACATTGCAAGAGGATTTCTAATGAGAGGTGTTGATATTCCATGAGTGCCCCCACATGAGGTAGGAGTAGTAGTAATTCTTGTTACTTCAAGCTCAGGACATAAAGCTTTACTAGAGCCATTCAGAGCTCTTAGAACTTGCTATCGTACTAGGTGTCTGAATTATCTCTGAGATATCAAGAGATTGGCTGACTGGCTATTTTGACATTAGAATAAAGAAAATTTGTAGAGAGCTTGGACTGTGAATTTGGGAGTCATATTGGGTAAAGGATATGTGAATGGCTCCTGTAGATGTGAAAAGTGTCATATAGGAGATAAAACTAGTTTGGAGATACCATAAATTTAGACCATGATGGTCTTCTGAAGAAGCAAGGAAACCTTATCAGAAACAACCTGGAGATATACTACCAGACGCTTAAAATCAAAAGGAGTCAAAAGTGACTAATCCAGGGCTGGGATCATATCTCAACCGGCAGAGTACCTGCCTAGCAAATGCCCTGAATTCAAACCCCAGTACCTCTCCCCACACCCCCCCAAAAAGAAAAGATGTGATTAATCCAGGGATATGTATTTTCCCCTTTCAAGAGAACAGCACATGAGGGCTCCCAACAATGAGGTACTCCCTATAGAATCCTTAAAGTGATCACATAAAAGAAAGTCAACTTTAAATACTTTCTTAGGTTAGAAAGTGTCAGAAGTATAGAAGGTGAACATAACAGTATCTGTTATGTAAGATTCTAATTTCTTCTTATTTATTCTCTGGCCTCATTGAATGGAAACTTGTTTCATGATTACAATTGAAAGGAAGGTTTTCACTTTACAAGAATAAGCAAAATAGGAAATATTCCAGATTCTATCCAAGGGGCAGGATAGAAACTAGTTCCAAAGAGCAGAATTTCATAGACAGCAAGAATAAAATAAAAGTTGTTACAATAATGCTTCCTACAAATTTTGTCCATTCAATGTGACTGATAAACTGGCAACAACCTCAAGAATATACATGAGAATAGGTTCTAAGAATATTAGGTAAAAGTAGGATGGAACATGTTAGCTACCTTTGTCAGGCATTCTTTCAACTCTGAACCATTGCATTTGCCTGGAGAACTTTACCTTCAGATATCTACCTGATTTACTCCCTCACCTCCTTCACATATTTCCTCTTGAGCCTTCTCTTGTTGTTTCCTCAATAAGAATGCAAGCTCCATGAAGACTGAGACTGTAGTTTCTTTTATTTTCTTCAGTGCTGTAATTCCTAGTGCTTATGATAGCAGCAGGCACATAACAGATGTTTAATAATAATGTATTACACATAATACACACTATATATTAATATAATTTATTAAGCTAATGACCCACCGAATTAATAAATATTTGTGCATACCACAAGAATTATAAATTCAATGTACCATTTCATGCAGCTAGATCCCAATGGATTGCTCACTAGTTGACTAAAGATAGCCTCCTAATGCATCACACTAAACAAATGTAAAATAGAAGAGATTACTTAATATGTTGTAGAGGCAAAAATCTAAAGAGACATGGAAAAGAAAATGTTAGAGTGTACTTTTCACATATTCATCTACTGCCTAACTACGTCTGGAGAGTGGGCCAAAAGATGTTACATTTCACAAGAAATTGAGCAATGAACAGGAAAGCAAATTTTAAAATCTTAGGTTGAATGCTTGTAAGTGACCCTTAAACTTTATGTGGCCCCTTGATTTTAATAGTGATGCCAAGAACTCAGGCAGGATAAGGAAAGAAGCTTATAAGGAAGGCCTGGATGCCTTAATCTGGATCGGAAATGTCATAGTAGACAGAATAGTTTACTATGTTGGAAAACTTTTTGTCAGTAGCTGGTTGATGCTGTGCTATCTGGCAGAGACAGTATGTGTGTTAACCAAATTCCGTTCCATTTTTCTTATGTTCACATTCATGGACTGCTTTTCACAGACTGCATTGCAGTTAAGTGACTGTGAACAGAAGTTACATTTACCAATTTCAAGCCTTATACCTGAAAACTCCAACATAATGTCACATGAGCCTTCTGTCTTCTTCTGTCTTCTTGTTGGATATAATCACACATGACCATCTTAAAAGTCACATGTTGAAGAAGGTAGAGCTTCTTGCCATCTTAGTCCTTGAATGATTGCCTGGAGCTGATCCCACCCCCTCCTACCTGTATTGAACTCCTGAGTGGAAATTAGAATGTCAGTTTGCTGGAAGGTAAGCAGGGCCGGGCCTGGTTAGCACTTGGATGGGAGAATGTTAGTTTGCTAAGCTCTGAGATTTTAGAATTTTTTAGAGCAGTTAGCTTACCTTGACATTTATGTATTACCAGGAGAGAAATGGGTAGGGGGCCACCCATTTCATACTTGACTTGGGTTATCCATACCCCCCAGGTATGGCAAAATAGAGGCCTGATATGATCCATGAGATAGTCTAGGCTTTCTCTTAATTACAAGACCTGGGTCAGTACTAATATTATACCCAAAGCCCCTTGAGGAAGGACCTTGCTATAACATCATAAGCAAATACTATGAATAGTTTTCCCCAAATGACCTGCAGTTAAATGTCATTGACCCCAATTGATAGATGAGGAAACTGAGACTCAGAAAAATTATCCAAGATCAGATCTGGGATTCTAACTTATATTCATAACTCTTAGATGATGAAACTGGTTTCTACAAATTTTTGTTATATGACACCCATGCCTTGTCATATATAGGTAGGGAATCATTCACCATTACTTCTGATGGATATTGGGGATGAAGTGCTTCCTCCTTAGGTTTTTAAAATATGAAGTTGGTGTATCAAATCAAAAAGAAAAGCTCTGCCACTCAATAAATTGTCTTGTTTTACTTTATACTGTCTTTGGAACCCATTAATGTAGCTTCCGGAGCCAGGCTTCTAAGTCCAAGGAGGAAGTGAGATCTTTGTGGAGTCACTGGGATGAGAAGACAAATTGAGAACTGGGGAACCCAGCGTCGTGGTCACACCTTATGTAAATCACTTCCCTACTCAATCTCTCATTTGAGAAATCAAGTTGGGGATAACTTTTCTACAGTCTAGTTAGAAATACTTACATCTATCTTTCATCTCTCTCCACTCTCCTCCCCTCCCCTCCCCTCCCTCCCCTCTCCTCTCTCTCTCTCTCTTTCCATCTCTCATGTATGCTAGGTAAATGTTGCACCATTCAGCTACATTCCAAGCCCTTAGAAATATATTTTAGTGGCCATATTTCTTATACATAAAACAGAAACAAGTTTTTGAAGGACCTTGCCCTTGCTAAGTAGGTACTCCACCATTTGAGGCTCACCTTAGCCCTTTTTTGCCTTAGTAATTTTTCAGTTAGGGTCTTAGGTTTTTGCCCTGTGGCTGGCCTGAGACTGTGCTCCTCCTACCTACTGCCTCCCCTGTAGCTGGGATCAAAGGTGTGCCACCACACCTGGCTTATTGAATGGGGTCTTGCTAACTTTTCCTGCCCAGGCTGGCCTCAAACTGCCATCCTCCTGATCTTTGGTTCCTGAGTAGCTGCAATGTCAAAACAATTCTTAACACTACTATTGATGCTGAGTATTGAACCCAGGGCCTTACACATGCTAAGCAAATGCTCTACCACTAAGTTACCCTCACCCCTCAGCCCTGGACTTTTTGTTTGTTGTGACCCACAAAATTGACTTCAAGATCCACAATGGGTGACAATCCTTACTTTACATTGAAGCGTTTGTATTGGAGATACAGAGAAACAACGGCCTCATTCTTGCCAATTCTTTGACCTTCCTCAGCTATGGTAGTTACTAAGGTAATTGCATCTTGACGATAAAGTCCTGTAGAAAATGTTTCAGGCCAGACTCACCCCCAAAGATATACAGAAGAGGATAACCCTGGTACTTAGCATTTCTGAACCGCAGTGCCCTATCTACAGTCTTTATTGGTTGTGGTAAGGATTAAAATGAAGAGATCTTAGATGTTAAAATGTCAACAGGGGTAAACTATGGGTACAGGCTGAATGTAACCCTAATCTTAATTTGTGATCTTGCAGTGGACGCCCTCCAAGTTTCCATTGCCCCTACCCACTCCAATAATTAGACTATTTTAAGGTCTTCTGGGTGCCTAGCTGATCAGGAGGATTGCAGTTCAAAGCCAGCCCCAGACAAACAGTTCGGGAGACCCTATTTTAAGGTCTTCTAATTTTTAATGCTTTGCCCACCAAAATATTCATCCTGGTTTTATTACTTCTGCTTAATATGACACATTATAGACACATACCTATATATATATATATATTTATACACACACACATGCAAACATATGTACATTTACACATACGTAGACACACACATACCAGTAACACTTTGGTGTATGTCAGAATTATGTAGGGAGTTTGTTAAAATGGAGATGATTCTGGAACCCCACTCTGTAAGTGTGGAGGATAGGGGCCAGAGGTCTTAAATTCACAAATCTCTCTTCCCCAAGGTGGTTTTGTAAAGATGGTAGACTTGCACTCTTTGAAAAATACTAGAACACACATTCTTAAAATGCTATCAAATGATGAATTATGCATATGATTGTTCCTTATTGATTGGTTGGGGCAAGAAAAAACTAATTGTCAAAGATTACTGCAATTTTGAGTTCAAGTAGATGGGAGAGGAAAGGTACTACTTACAAAAGTAAGGACTTGAGCGGAAGAGAAAGATGATGGAATACAGGTTGCTTTGAGAATTCCTTTATTAATTTCAAACTATGAAAAGCATTTTTTTCTAAAACAGGTTGAACGGCCATGCAGAAACTTCTTTTAAATTGAAGCAAAATATTCAACCAGAAATTAATATAGATACACCAAATGTTTTACAAAAATGCAAGCTTGTAAAGCAGTGGCCACATTTGGAGCCTCAGGGAAAAATCTTAGTTTCAAGGTATGAGGCAAAAGTCATAATGATTGTCAGGTTCAGGGGTTTGGAAGCGCCTGTAATGCCTCATCTGCTGCTCCCTACTCTTTCTTTTGATTTCCATCATCTGCCCAACAAACTTTTCTACATCATCTCCCACTTCATTGCGATCAATATGCCTACTAGATATGCCCCATCGAAAATTAGGGACAAGTCGCCTGACTCGCCCGAGCTTGACATTTCCTCCAGGCTTCTGGCCTTTAGCCCCTCCCAAGTGGCGGGATTCCTCTTCACTCTGAATAGAGGCCTGCTCCTCTCCTTCGCTTTCCTGTTGAGCATTTTCCACTTTGAGATTTTTAAGTGCTTGTTTCTGTTTGGACTCCATTACTCCTAGGAGACAAGAGACAAGAAAGGGGACCGAATTCTTGGTATACTGATCAGCTACGAGGACAGAGGACCTACTAAGGTCCTTTCAACTTTCAGAAGCCTCAATTTCAAAGGCCTTCGGTTAATTTCGTTTTCCCACCTGAGAAGGTCCACATGTCCAGTCCGCCCTCCTCCCTCCCCAAAGCTCATCACTTTCCCAGTGGATCCACCTCCAGGCTTCCACCAGACCCAAACGCAGGATGGGGGAGGGAGGAAGAATTGTGGTTGGGGATCTCAGACTTGTCTTCCCACACGTTCCCCCGCCCCTTGTCCTCGCCCCAGCGATGTCCCACTCACCAACCTGGGCCTATCCTTGCCTCTCCTCCTCCTCCTGATTCTCGCCGCGAGACGCCGCCGCGACACGGCCTGGCAGATCTGCAGATGGCCGGGTTGGAGCGGGGGCCGCCACAGCTGAGTGCTGGGTGCCAGAGACCCCCGCCCCCCGCCCCTCCCTGCCGCCCGCGTTCGCATCCCCGCCCCCCGCGCTGACCACCATTTTCTGCACCAACAGGGCGGGGGGCGGGGCAGGGCCGTGGGAAAAGCTGGCGCTTATGGCGCAGGCAGGTGTTTCCACAGGCTCGGAGCCTCGGGACCGCCGGGCTTGACCAGCGGGCGGCTGCTCCGCATGCACAGGGCCGCCCACCTACAGCGCCCGCCTGCGGGGCCGCGGCGGGGAGTGGGGGCTGCAGCCCCAACCGGCTGCGCCTCCGCCCTGGGCAGCAGGGCCCGGGGGTGGGGTCCGCTCTCCCACTCCAACCCCAGGGTCCGCTCGGGGTCTCACCCGCTCCTCGCCCGCCTCCTCCTCTCTGGGGCCGCCCCTGGCCCGCGCGCTCCTTGGGCCCCCAGAGCAGGTGCAGCTGCCTCTGGTAGAGGGAGCGAGCTCTGGCGGCGTCTGGCGCTGGAGCTAGGTGTTGCTAGTCTATACTGGCCAGTCACGTGAGGCCTGCGTCATCGCTAGTGGCCCCGCCCACTCGCCAGCAGCCGCCGCTGCCCGGCGTGGGCGGGGCCAGACGGCCCCTTTTCCGCACCCACTGGTGTTGAATGTCTCCAGGCTGGGCTCTGTCACTGCCTTCTTTGTGTATTCCTGGGCTTTTCTTTCTCTGCCCACCAGGGAAGGGCGGTATCTTGTCAGAGGGCTGTTGGCCGTTCCCACTTCTGTGGGGAATTGCCTGTCCCTCCTCTCTGCTCCAGGGATGCCCTCATCCTTTGCACCAAGATTTGGTCCCAGCCTTTAAGGGGGTGCAAGAAAATCTCAGTTCTTACAAAAATAACATTTAATGCAATATTTAAGGGAAAATAAAAAATAGTGGAAGAATATCTATGATCAGCAGGATGTCAAAATTTTAAATGACAGCATTTGCGTTTTGTTCACTTTTATTGAAAATTGCACTCTATAGCTTGCGTTAAATTTATTTTGATTTTTTTACTATGAAAATTTTCAAACATAAAAATAGAAAAGAATAATGCAAACCCATGCAGTAATTATTTAGTTTCCACAGTAAGGTATGGCCAATTTTATTTCATCTTCATCCTTATCGACTTCTAGCACTCAAATTACTTTTGAAAGAAATTCTAGACATATCACTTTAGTCATAAATATTTCAAATTGAAGTGCATATCTCTACAAGATGGATTTTCTTGCTATTTGCCCAGGGCTGTCTTTGAACCACGATCCTCTTGATCTCTGTCTCCTGAGCAACTAGGATTACAGACGTGAGCCACCAGCACCCAACCTACATTTCTTCTAATCTATAGGTTCTTTTAAATTTTCTCTTCAATGTAATAGTTGATGAACAGAGTGGTTTGTCCTATATTTTCCCACAGTCTGGATCTCGGTGGTATCATCATTAATACGTGACTCTTTACTCTGTTTCCTATCAAATAGTAGTTAATTCTAGAAAAACTTAATTGAATTCAGGTTCAATTTCAGTTCATGTTCTTCCAAGAGATAGCCTTTGTCTCTTGATTTCTTATTTGCTAAAACAGATAACAATTATGTTTTCCTCTTTTTGTGATTTTAACCAGAATATTTCTATAAACACCTCTTGTTTTAGGTCAGGCTTCCTACAAGCAGAACATGAAACAGAGATCCTTATGAAAGCAGTTTCTTGAGATGATATTCTCATGTTAATGGGAGTGAAGCACGCAGAATAGGACAGGGAGAATGGGGTTTAACTGGAGATAAACTTTAGTAAATCCACCTGGAAACTTCAAAGACAAAGTGGTCCTGGTACCAAAAATTTGGCCCCTCGACTCCATGCCAATTTTACAAATAAGGAGAGCAGGGTTTTGGAGGAAAAGAAATGAAGGTTTATTAATTTGCCAAGCACAATAAGAACCATAGTGAGCTGCTATTTCAGAAGCTTCTGTCCTCCTCCCAAGAGTTTGGGCTTTTGGATGTACGTACTGAGGCAAGGCTTTGGGTCAGATGGTGGCCTTGGGTCTGCTTATTTCCCAATTACTGACAGGAGCTGTATGTTTTGCAGTCCTCAATGGTCCTTCACTACTGCTGTCAGCAAGATGAGAGGAGCATATGACCTTGCCCAGAGGATAAAGACATTCTGGAGTTCTTCACATGGTGGAATGTGGGGTAGGGGGAGAGAAAAAAACGAAAGAAAAGAAAAGTCTGCTTAAAACTTTTAAAAACTTGTAATTCAAAGTAGACTGGCTAGTAAAATGAGTTAGTAATTGGGCTGAAACTACAGTTGTGAGCATATTTAGGTGTCTTCCCATTATAGTCATACCTTGATAGAAAGGCACTGGTTTTTCGTATCGTAATGTCAAATAGTCGAAGATCAAAAACTACAGATGGAGCAAAGCATAGTCTCTGGGGAAAACAGCTCCTAGTTGGCTGAGAACAATTCTCTAGAGAAGAGGTAATATTTCAGTTGTTATCAGCCAATATTCACAGCTAGGGCAGGCTTCACATATAGATCTGTGGTGTATAGTCCAGTGCTTTGTGGTCAGAAGAGACCAACTCCTGCTTTAAGTTCTGCTGGGTTTTTTGTTGTTGTTGTTTGTTTGTTTTTTGTGGTACTGGGTTTTTTAACTTAGGGCCTTGTGCTTGCAAGGCAAGCACTTTGCCACTTTAACCATGCCCCTAGCCTTTTTTGCTTTAGTTTAGTTTTCAGACAGGGTCTCATGTTTTTGCCCTGTCACTGACCTCAGACCAAGATCCTCCTACCTTACCTCTTGCATAACTGAGATAACAAAGAGGCATCATCACACCCAGTTTGTTTTTTGGGATAGGCACTTGCTAACTTTTTTGTTCTGGCTGGACTCAAATTGTAATTCTCCCATTTCTGCCTCCTGCATAGCTGGGATTACAGACTTCAGATACCACACTGGTTCCTTTTGTTGGGTCTGGAGAACTAAGGCAGATGAGTGACTATCCCATCCCCCATGGAGAGCAATATCATTTCTATATCCTGAGGAGATGGAGGCCTGCATTCCTGCATCCTAAAGGACAGATTCAGATTTGCCACAGGGCTGATGAGCAAAATGCTCTCTAGATTGTTTCCCCTCCCTCAATAAAGGTGAAAACCAAACCAGTTCACCTGAGAAAGCCTGCGAATCCATGGCCAATGAGAAAAACCCACCTAAACCAGAGTTAAAACATCCATAAAAACCCTAGCCTTCACCTGTGCAGTGAGCCACCGGCTTCCGGGCTCCACTGCAGTTCCCTACCTGTAGCCTTTCCTTTCTCTCTAATAAATCCTACTTTATTTACCGTCTTTGGCTCATTATTCAGCTGCCTCACGAGCCAGTTCTCTGGCCTGTGAAGACAAGGACCCTCGGCACTGGCACGTAACACTGTGTTGAGATTCTTAATACTTTTATCTCTGAACATCATCCCACACAAGTCCATAGGTTTTATCTAAACTATATTCAGGAACAAGTCCAGTTGGCTGACAGAGGCCAGTCTTCTACTACTGAGACTCCCTCTTTCTCTCCTGGGTACTTTCATGTTTACTGGGTACTGATGTCCCTTCTATGGTACCCTTTTCCTCTGCAAAGTGCTACTGATTTATCTGGCCTCTCATTGGGCCACAGTCCCATTCTGTTTCTAAGGAAGTATGCATAAAGTCCTTCTCTTCACTTTATACTCAAACTTATCTGGATGCTGATATCAAACAGAAGTTTTAGGATAGTAGTCCTTTCTGCTGTGTGTGTTCGTGTACGAGCGTGTGTGTGTGTGTGTGTGTGTGTGTGTGGGCGGGGGGTGGGTGGGTGTTACTCTATTTCTACTGGATTTAGGTGGTTCTGCTGTGTGTGTTTGTGTACGAGCGTGTGTTTGTGTGTGTGTGTGTGTGTGTGTTACTCTATTTCTACTGGATGTACATGGTGAGGACTGAGTATGCAATGGTGATTCAGAATTGCCCAACTCTTGCTTCCCAAGTAAGGAATATGATTTGTCTGCTAGACTGGAAACTACTGAAATTCTTGCTAGAAACATATTCAAATTAAATAGGGGAGAATAAATAGGATCAAACTGGTGGATTCCTCCACAACTCCTAGACCCACTCTCACCTAAAACAGAAAAGTTTAAGTTCCTAAATACTGATGGGCGAGTCATTAGTCTATAATTATGCCACTATGTAAACCATTTCTAGAAATTATTACATAAATTTCCAACAGAAATTATATTTACCCATAATTCAACATTTAATATAATCTTGTTTCATTTGCAATTTTTTATGAAATATGGTCCCATATAAAATTTTATCATTTCAAAGTGTGCACTTCAGTGGCTTTTAGCATATTCACAATGTTGTGTAACCATCACCACTATATAATTTCATGACATTTCTGTCACCTCCCAAAGAAAGCCCATATTTGTTAGTAGCCACTCCCAATTCCTTTCTCTCCACAGCCTCCAGCAAACTCTAATCTACTTTCTGTCTCTATGGATAGGCCTATTCTGGTCATTTTATACCAATGGAATTATGCAATATGTGGTGTTTTGTTCCTGATCTTTCACTTACAATATTATTTTCAAAGTTTACTCATGTAGCTTGTAGCAGTACTTCATTATTTTTGAAGCTGAATAATATTTCATTAGCGGATATATAACAGTTTGCTTACCTACATATCAGTTGATGGGCATTTGAGTTGTTTCCATTTTTGTCTATCATGAATAATGCTGCCATGACCATTTGGGTACAAGTTTTTATGTGAATGTATGTTTTCAGTTTTCTTCGGCATAACTCTAGGAGTGAAATTGCTGGGTCATTTAGTAACTGTTTAACTTGTTAATGAAATACCAGTCAGTTTTCCGCAGCACCTGCACCATTTTGTATTCTCACCAGCTGTGTATGAGGATTCTAATTTCTCCACAACTTTACCAACACTTGTTATTTTTATTTTTTAAAAACTATACCCATGATACTTGGTGTGAATTAACATATTGTGGTTTTGATTTTCATTTACTTAATGACTAATTGTGTTAAGAATATTTTCATGTATTTATTTCCCATTTGTGTACCTTTCTTCAGAGAAATGTCTATTCAAATTCATCTTATAATTTGGTTATCTGTCCTTTTATTCTCAAGTTGGATGAATTCTTCATATATTCTGGATATATTCTGTCTTTTATCATATATGTGACCTACAAACATTATGTCTAATCAGTGACTTATATTTTTTAAATTAATGGTTTTGTGTTATTCAGCTTTCCATCACTGTGAAAAAATCCATTTAAAAGAGGAAATTTTTGTTTTGGTTCATGGTTATGAAGGTTTCAGTCCATGGTCATTTCCCTCTCTTGTTTTGGGGCCTGTGGTGAGACAGAACATCATGGTGAGAAGCATGCGTGGAGCAAAAACCATGGCAGCCAAGAAGCAGAGAGAGAGGGAGAGAGAGGGACCAGGGGAAAAACTACCCTTTAAGGACATGCCCTCAGTGACCTACATTGTTCAGCTAGGTCCCACTTCATAAAATTTCCACTTCCCAGTAACTCATTAAGCTATGAATCCATCAATGGGTAAACAGGTTGGTGAGATCAGAGCCCTCATAATACAATCATCTCCAAAAAGACCCAAACACACATATACAGAATACTGCAGCACTGGGTTCCAAGCCTTCAACATATGAGTTTTGGGGGACATTTTAGATCCAAATCAAAGCAGCTTTTAACTGACATATCATAATTAAATATAGAATACAGTGTAAAATGTTGATACATGTATACAACGTAGAATGATAAATCATGCTAATTAATATATTCATAATCTCACTTATCATTTTTGTAAATTTAAAATTTACTTAGTTGAGATGCCTTTTCACACTTTAGAGTTTAAATTTTGATCAAGTAAAATATGTCTGTTTTTCTCTGAGTATTATGCTTTTTGTGTTAAAACTAAGAAACAACTACCAAATCCAATACAAGAAATATTTACTGCTATATTTTCTTCTAAGAGTTTTAGTTTTTGTTCTATGGAATAGAAAGGGAAGGAAAACTGCTTAGCACATTTTATGAAGCCAGTATTACACTTATCCTAAAACCAGGCAAAGACACCTCCAAAAAGGAGAACTATAGGCCAATCTCCATAATGAACATCAAGGCAAAAATCCTCAATAAAATAATGGCAAACCGAATTCAACAACACATCAAAAGGATCATTCACCACGACCAAGTAGGCTTCATCCCAGAAATGCAGGGGTGGTTCAACATACGAAAATCAATAAACGTAATAAACCACATTAACAGAAGCAAAGACAAAAAACACTTGATCATCTCAAGTGTCTCATCTTTGATAAGATCCAACACCATTTCATGGTAAAGGCTCTAAGAAAACTAGGAATAGAAGGAAAATACCTCAACATTATAAAAGCTATACATGACAAACCTACAGCCAGCATTATACTTAACGGAGAAAAACTGAAACCATTCCCTCTAAAATCAGGAACTAGACAAGGATGCCCACTATCTCCACTCCTATTCAACATAGTACTGGAATTTCTAGCCAGAGCAATTAGGTAAGAAGAAGGAATAAAAGGAATACAAATAGGTAAAGAAACTGTCAAAATATCCCTATTTGCAGATGATATGATCCTATACCTTAAAGACCCAAAAAACTCTACTCAAAAGCTCCTAGACACCATCAACAGCTATAGCAAGGTAGCAGGATATAAAATCAACATAGAAAAATCATTAGCATTTATATACACTAATAATGAATAAGCTGAAAAAGAATGTATGAAAACAATTCCATTTACAATAGCCTCAAAAAAAAAAATACCTCGGTGTAAACTTAACAAAGGATGTGAACGACCTCTACAAGGAAAGCTATAAACTTCTGAAGAAAGACACTGAGGAAGACTATAGAAAGTGGAGAAATCTCCCATGCTCATGGATTGGTAGAATCAACATAGTAAAAATGTCTATACTCCCAAAAGTAATCTACATGTTTAATGCAATTCCCATCAAAACTCCAATGACATTCATTAAAGACATTGAAAAATCTACCATTAAATTTATATGGAAACACAAGAGGCCATGAATAGCCAAGGCAATACTCAGTCAAAAGAACAATGCTGGAGGTATCACAATACCCGACTTCAAACTATATTACAAAGCAGTAACAACAAAAACAGCATGGTACTGGCACAAAAACAGACATGAAGACCAGTGGAACAGAATAGAGGACCCAGATATGGAGCCACACAACTATAATCAATTTGTCTTTGACAAAGGTGCTAAAAATATACGATGGAGAAAAGACAGCCTCTTCAACAAAAACTGCTGGGAAAACTGGTTAGCAGTCTGCAAAAAACTGAAACTAGATCCATGTATATCACCCTATACCAAGATTAACTGAAAATGGATCAAGGATCTTAATATCAGACCCCAAACTCTAAAGTTGGTACAGGAAAGAGTAGGAAATACTCTGGAATTAATAGGTCTAGGCAAGAACTTTCTCAATGGAACCCTAGCATACAGCAACTAAGAGATAGCATAGATAAATGGGACTTCATAAAACTAAAAAGCTTCTGCTCAACAAAAGAAATGGTCTCTAAACTGAAGAGACCACCCACAGAGTGGGAGAAAATATTTACCAGCTACACATCAGACAAAGGACTGATAACCAGAATATATAGGGAACTTAAAAAACTAAATTCTCCCAAAACTAATGAACCAATAAAGAAATGGGCAAGTGAACTAAACAGAACTTTCTCAAAAGAAGAAATTCAAATGGCCAAAAAACACATGAAAAAATGCTCACCATCTCTAGCAATAAAGGAAATGCAAATTAAAACCACACTAAGATTCTACCTCACCCCTTTTAGAATAGCCATCATTAGCTACACCAGTAACAACAGGTGTTGGCGAGGATGCGGGGAGAAAGGAACCCTCTTACACTGCTGGTGGGAATGTAAACTAGTACAACCACTCTGGAAAAAAATTTGGAGGCTACTTAAAAATCTGAACATTGATCTACCATATGTTCCAGCAATCCCACTCTTGGAGATATACCCAAAAGACTGTGACACAGGTTACTCCAGAGGCACCTGCACATCCATGTTTATTGCGGCACTATTCACAATAGCCAAGTTATAGAAACAGCCAAGATGCCCCACCACTGACAAATGGATTAAGAAAATGTGGTATTTATACACAATGGAATTTTATGCAGCCATGAAGAAGAACAAAATGTTATCATTCACAGGTAAATGGATGGAATTGGAGATCATCATTCTGAGTGAGGTTAGCCTGGCCCAAAAGACCAAAAATCGTATGTTCTCCCTTATATGTGGACATTACATCAATGGTAAACACAAGAAAGGATTGGACTTTGATCACATGATAAAGCAAGAGCACACAAGGGAGGTATGAGGATAGGAAAAACACCTAAAAAACTAGATAGCATTTGTTGCCCTCAACGTAGAGAAACTAAAGTAGATACTTTAAATCAACTGAGGCCAATAGGAGAAGGGGACCAGGAACTAGAGAAAAGGTTAGTTGAAGAAGAATTAACTTAGAAGGCAACACACATGTACAGGAAATCAATGCGAGTCAACTCCCTGTATAGCTATCCTTATCTCAACTAGCAAAAACCCTTGGTCCTTCCTAGTATTGCTTATACTCTCTCTTCAACAAAATTAGAGATAAGGGCAAAATAGTTTCTGCCAGGTAACGAGGGGTAAGGGACGGTTAGGGAGGAAGGGGGCTAAGGGAGGATGTGGGGGGAAGGAGGGAGAAATGACCCAAACATTGTATGCACATATGAATAAAATAAAAATTTAAAAAATAAGAGTTTTACTTTTAACTCTCACATTTAAGTAACTGACCAGTTTAGAATTAATTTTATATATGGCATAAAATAGCTTCAATATTTTGTATATGGTTATCCAGTTGTCTCAGCGCCATTGTTGAAGAGCCTATTCTTTCCCTCATGGAATGGTCTTGATATCCCTGACAAAACTGAATTCACTACATATGTATTACTTATCTCTGAGCTCTCAATTCCATTTCATTGACTATATATCCTATGTCAGTGCCACACTGTTTGAATTACTGTGGCTTTGTAGTAACTTTTGAAATAGGAAACAATAGTCTTGTTTTTCAAGATTCATATGACTAGAAATTCTGAGTTTAATCTCCAATACCAAAAAAATTCCATAGGAATTTTAGTATTATCTTTTCCTTTTTTTGAAAAAAGTTTATTGGATAGGCATATTGCATTGAATCTGTAGATCATATTATATACTATCCTCTCTTTCTCTATTTCTCTCTCTCTAGGCTTCATGCTTGCACATAATGTAACATCTTAATATTATTAAGTCCTTCAATCCAAGAACATGGGGTGTTTTTCTGGTTAGGCATTCATTAATTTCTTTCACCAATGGCTTATACTTTTGAGTGTACATGTCTTACATTTTCTTAGTTAAATTTAATATTACTAAGTATTGTTTGTATTTTTTTACTGGTCGTGGTACTGGGGTTTGCACTCAGGGCTTCACGCTTGCTAAAGAGGCATTGTACCACTTCAGTTGCTACGCCAGCCCCCATAATGATTTCATAAATCATGTGGGTTACTTCACATCAGACTCTTTCAAGGAGCCAGAACTGAAACTTGCATAATTTCAGAAATTTCAATGATGGCTTTTCAAAATTCTCACAGTGTGGCAACAGTCAACAGACGTGGTCCAAACACTTTTTGCTCTCCGGATCATCTTCCTACCTTTCTCCGGGAGCGGCAACAGGAAGCTTTCGGGGTGCAGGATACCCATGGTGATTGGCTGATGAGATCTTTGTAGCCCAGATGCCAACCAGGAGGAGCGTCCAATCACCTTGAGTGCCCACTGTGATTGGTCCACGTGATCCAAGCAGGAGGAGGCCCATCCAATCACACTGAGCGCACGCACGCCTTAGTGACAGGCTCCCTGCAGAGCACACCCTCCAATCAGATGTTCAGTCGGCCTGTGACGTGACACACTGACGTGAATATTAAAGGCCTGGCCCCTTAGCAGCCGCCATTGTTCCTCACAGCCTGAGGGATGGCAGAGCGGAGCTTGGACAAGTCAACCGAGCCAACCTCTGAGATGTCTGCTGAGGAGGACCTTGGTCCCCAGGAGACCAAGGGGACAGACTCTACGACCCAGCAGACTCAGGAGAAGCCAAGGTGCCACCGACGACCCGGCCGTGGTGGCAGCTTTGCCACCTATTTCCCCCGGGTGCTGAAGAAGTTTCACCAGGACCTCTCCCTGTCCCAGGAGACCGCGGGCGTCATGGACTCCTTCGTCCATGACATGTTGGATGGCATCGCCAGCGAGGCCGGCCGCCTGTCCCGCCAAGCCAACCGCTCGACCATCACCACCTGGGACATCCAGAGGGCCGTGCGCCTCCTGCTGCCCGGGAAGGTCGGCAGTAAAGTGGTGTACCAGGCCGCCGGCGCCATGGCCATGTTCACCCAGAGAAAGTGAGCCGCTTCTGCACGCCCCGAGCACCCCAAAACCCAAAGGCTCTTTTCAGAGCCACCACTTGTCCCAAAAGACCTGTAGCACTGGCAGCGGTGCACAGCTCCGGGTTGGGGGTGGGGGTGTCCTGCCCTTCTTAACTCCTTACAAATACCACATCGCCACGTGTGTCTTCAGGTGGATATTTGTATCTAGATCTACTATGGAGAGCTAGACAGATACCGAGATATTTGTGTTGTTACTTGTTCCAGGGATTATAGTGGGTTTCATTGACTGACTCTGCAGTTAATCACATGATTATTTATGTCACTAGGTCACTTTGTAAGGATCAGCCAGGTCACCCTCATTTCTGTAATAACGACTTTTATCTTTATCACTCTGATTCCCTCAGGAGGGTAGAGTGGAATTATCCAGAGGGACATTGTAGATGACATATATTTATACATTTTTCTACAAGTTCCATTTGACCTTTTGCAAAAAAAGATGTGACCCTTTAAAAAAGTAGTTGATATCCTTTAAAGGCTATCAGTCTCAGCCAAACAATCAAACAAAGCTGAGTAAACTAAAAAAATTTAAAACATTCCTTGATCCCATGAGGATAGGGATATGACTCCCCCACCCCCACCCCAGGAGACACCTTCCCATGGATTACTCCCTTTCAACACAGCCCCACTTGCTCCTGGAGAAAATGGGGACAGTGCAGGATATCAGAGAAGCTTCCCTCAGTAGTGCAGGCATGAAGGAGGCAAGTTAACTCCTGAGCTCCCCTTCGGATCAATGGGACAGGAGGAAGTACAAAAAGTACAAAAGGGACAGGATTAGCACTTGTTATTATGCAGGACAATTTGACCAATTATGCAAAGATCTGAGTAAAAGTTCTTACTGCACAGGGAAGCCAAGAGAAACTACCTTGAAATTAACTGCAAGTAAAACCTTGGATACTGACTCAAAACTGCTAGACACATCCACAACAAAATGTTGGATGCCAAAGGATCTATGTGCTTTTCCTGTGAACTATTAGGAAAAAAACCCAAACCTATTTCACCAAGATACTCAATATTTGGTGCTACTTCAAAGACCAATGCTTTTAATATATTATTTTAAAGTTCTTCATGTATATTGATCTTATACATGTTTTTTTACAAGAAGTAATTTTAAGAAGTCAAGTAGATTATTTTCTTGTGCTCCGGGTGGCCGATTCAGCAATCAAATAAGAGCATTAAGAAACAACCCGAAGTGAATATGTGGATCTAAAACAGAGAATATAGTGGGGCTGATAAAGGTGAACTATTTCTAAGAGTGTAAAGATGGGGTTCGTGACCAATGAATAAATGTGATTATTCACTTCAGTAAGTAAAAGGGGTACCTAGTGGGCAATCATGATCTGATGGTGTGGTTTACTGAAAAGACAAACTAGGGGAAAGAGTTCATGCTTGAATAACAAATCTTGCACTTACATAACAGACTATAAATTGTTTATACTGATTACATTTTGAAATGATATCTTAGATAAATTGGTTTAAATAAAGCAAATTATGAAAGGAAAAAATATAAGAAATTGTAAGCATCTATCTCAGGAAAATGATATTAATAAGATAAGCATACTTCAATCAAACTAGTTTTGATATTACCTCCATTAAGGATTTCATTAAAAAATAAATGGGGAGATAAATACAGTACCAAAATGATTAAGTTAAAAATTCAAGAAACTGTAACTATTCTTACTTTTTTAGAAACTGGACTCACTACTTAACTTGTTCAGCTATCTGGTTATGTTCCTTTCCTTGCTATAATATTTTGTTCTGAAACGTGTCAACCTCCATCACTTATATCTATGCAAGATAGGGGCAAATGGAAGGTTCAAGGAGAGCAGCTCAAAGTCCACTATGCTCCCAGTCACCAATGAGGAACTTGCAGACATGGAACAACAGCCATTTGCTCACAATGTGATCAGGTATGCCAGGTAGAACAAATGAGAATCTTCCTGGGATACTGAGTCCTGGATTTGAGAGAGAAACATGTGATTTATTGGGTATGATTCTTTGCCTACTGGTTCTTGTTTGTGGGGTACAGTGTATACTTTTAATCATGGTGAAAAGGATATGAATCCAGTCCTATGAGAGGACAGAGTCCATCCTCCAGCCATCGAAGGGGACAATGGAAACCAATTAGTAGAATATAAATGATTCCTCCTGTCCTCACATTGGTTTTGTCCTCACTATATTTGGGTTTTGAGATATTTTACTTTTCTCACTTCCTAGCACTCCTACCTATCAAAATAAAACTTGCCACATTAACTATGCAGGATGAAAACCCAGTTCCCAATACAGCGACTAATACAACAGAATCGACCCTGATTCCTGGCCCATCACTCCCCTCTCCTTCTTTGATCATGGCTCATACTTGTGCTTAAAATGAGAATGAGGGTAAGTTAGGTAGGATGAAGTTTGAAAATGTGACCTTTCTTTCCTCATATTTTGAGTAATGTCAACAAGAAACTCAGGACCACATTTGGATTCGAAGGAGTTTAGTGAAGCAGGCAAGCCCTTGCCATGCTTCCCTGTATCTATTTGAGTGTTATGACAGGCCAGTCCTATTCCTCATGGCTTTCAGCTCTCAATGGGATCCTTCAGCTGTCCATACTGTTACTACATCTACTTTCCAGATCTTCCTACACAGAAGTAAGTGTAAAACATGTCAGGTCCTGAGATACTGGATACATGCAAAGATGATGTGGCTTTGGCTAGACCTGATGATTATCCAGGTTTCCATTATTCATCCTTGGCAAATTGGTTTTAATGAAGAATCACATAAAATCAAGAACTGTGCAAGGTCTGTGGGTCTTTTGTCTGTTTAAAGCTTCTGTGTTTACTGTCTGAAGGCCACTGCTGGGGTGGCCTTGTCTTTGATTGTCTTATCACTGAGCACGTGGGCAGGGAACTGAAGGCTGTGTCCTCAGTCAGACTTCACTAGACCTGGTGGAAATATAACTAACACCACGAGGAAAACAAGCCAAAGGGGTGATGCTGACATTTTTCATTTACTTCTGTTACAATAAACAGTACTTTCACCTAAATGGTATCGTGTAACATTGGAAACATATTTTAAGCAGGCATACTTACTATGCTTGTTATGATACTTTGATACTCAGGCTGCCATAGTGATTCTATCCTGTGCAGCAATTCAGATCTTTCTCAGAGGCAATCTTTGTACAGATGGAAAGTGCCTTATCCAGGGACTTAGGTTAGATATGGTGCTGAATCTCACTCTAATATCTGTTCTATCAGACATGCTATTATCCTTTGAGTTTTGAGCTGATCAGAAATTTAATGGTGTGAACTTTAAGAGAAGCTGAATCTACAAGGAGGACCCCAAGTGATTCATTAGAGCTAAAATTTGGAATGTTGCCTGATAGCCATTTTCTGATTATGGGGGCACACAGTACTCTGTGTCCCTGGAAGGACCACCAATTGAGCTTTGTGGCCCTTGGCAAGAAATGTTTTTGTCTCTACTGCCAAAATAAATAGCTCCAGAAAGTATCACTTTGTTACCCATCCCTGACTGATGAAGTACATGACCCACAGTCATATTTAAAGCCAGCCAATCAGGAATGGACATGGTCGTATCCTCCACTTACATAAAAATGATCAGTCTGGATTAAGCACACTTACATTCCTCATTTGCATAAGTGGAATGGAGTAGGGAACTTTCTTTCTATTATTGAGTCTCTCGCTTTGTCCTTAAAGACACACTTTCCTTTCATAACCAGGGAAGCTGTTTCCCAGGTTCGCAAGCTTTTTTCCTTTCTTTCTTTGAAATCACATGTGTCATTTTTCTTTAATTCTTTTGTAGTAAATTCAGTTGAAAGTGAAACCATGGTTCTCTGTATTAACCTACTTGACAGGAAATACCTTAGACTATAAGGAAATGCATTACTAACTTGTGCGACCTAACTCAATCTACATTTGGGAATTAATTAAGCTGGAATTGCCCAAGCAATTACATAATGAAGTGATGGCCCTTTATCTTACAGAATAAATGAAAGACATAATTCACTATATTCATCAAACATACCTGGACATGTCATTGTACAGCTAAAGAACCGGGACAACACAGATCTGAATAGCAGAGAGAAAAGCAGATGACTCTACAAGGATAGCAAGTGCTGTCACAGCAGACCTATCTTATGACACAAGCACAGGATGAGAGAAAATGATGATCACCCACGAGGTGCATTCCCAGTCAAAGTATCACTTAAGAAAAAAGTTGATAGACACAGAACCCCCTTCAAGGAGAGACTCATCACTTCAGCTGCTGGGAAAGCAGTCGGCTGACAGTTGTCAGCCATTAGCAGTACCTTCAGGTATTAAGCAGAAGCTGCCTTCCCCAAGATGGCACACTTCCAGATGGACCACATCAAAGTCTAACTTGTTCTGACTTGTTCAGCCTGGAGGGCTGTGCTACCTTCAAAGTATTCCTTGGGGCCAAAGGCGGCTTTGGGTGGGCATGCATTAAAGATGTGCGACTCTGCCTCTGCCCATGTCAGCCCCCTTTTACCCCTTCTGGCCTTCCTCAGGCCTTGATCCTGAGTTTACGTCTTGCAAACTAAATTCTACCTGAGAGTCAGTTTCCTGCAGAACCCATCCTGAAAATGAAGGCATGTTTAAGGTACAAAGATAAGAGTGTTAATACAGCAGTGACTTCATCTCCAAGCAACATGGAAAGAATGTGGTTTAGGAAATTTTTTGAAAGTGATCAAAGAAAGATAATCCAATGTGAACATGGGTAATCAAAAACAACAATGGCATATGACAATTTTAATATTGATGATGGTTATTTTGTGATTAAAGAAAACAAGGTAGGACTTAATTAGGCAGTTATGCCTCATGCAGAGGATGGGAGCATCCCATGAGAGGTCATGACTATCCCCACTGGCACATTGAAAGACTTGCAGCATTTGAGCCATAATCGATGGCCAAAAGTGTAGGGAGGTGACCCGGGATGAC